AATAAGCCAAACAAGAAAAAATCGTGACAAAATATACATACCTAAATATTTACAAGCAGTATTTCAACACAAGAGCAAATTTACAAATACAAAATACGACATAAAAATAATTTATTTGATTAACTGCCGTATCTTAAGGGGATAATAGATAAATAAAATTCAGTTGTCTAAATAAGTTTGTCAACAGCTTTAAAATAAGTCAATTTCGCGCTGGGCCCAATTTCAAATTTATGAACTTGAAAAGCGACGGTGACTACAAACAAAAGACTTGGGCAACGAACGCGACTATGATTTATTACCAAAGGCAAAGAAAAAAGAAAAAAGATCGGTGACAGCCTCTGAGAATTGGGTCGAAATTAGCAAAGAGCTTTAAATTAAGCTAAAGATGATATGTCATAATTTGAAGTTCTGTCAAAAGTTCTTAAAAATAAGAGGGAACGGGGCTAGATATTTCTTAGAGCTGTATTAATACTTGTTAATTGTTTAACTTTAGTAGATAACTTACTGCATCACTGGTTTTAAAATATACTTTAATATTACTGCAATACATTTCATTCACTTCAAATGGTATCAATCCGCCCAAGCTCTAAAGAGCACACACTTTCGCTGACATTGGTGCAGACGAATGATCTAAATATCAACTGAAAACCGTTAATTGTGTGAAAAATGGATTAAAACATTTTCTCACACATGCTTGCTTCAAACAATATGAAGATGTTTATAATATTATAATTAATTACGATTTCTTGAACACTTTCAAAGTCAAAGCAAAGTTCAATGCCAAAACAAACAAACAAACAAAAACACAACAGAAAAAAAGAAATAAATACAAAAACCTAAAAGGCATTTGTTTTGTGTGCAACTCAAAGGTATGCTCCCATCTGCCATCTATTTTCCATTCGCTGCTGATAATGCTTAATTATATATACATAAACCGCAACAAGACAATGCAACAATATAACAACAACAACAATGAAGCGTACAAATCTGACTGCCTGATAATGTAAAACGAATTCACACGGCTTGGCATTCAAAAGAGAAAAAAAAATACTCTTAAAACGAGCATTGAAGGTACATACTTGTATGAACTACAAAAAAAAATAATAATAATAGTAAAAAAAAAATAAAAATCATAGACAATATTACGATTAAGTGGCCTGGGTTTTATTCCAATTAATTGAAGTAACTGCTTTGGCTGATGCGGCATCTGAGATTTTTGTTTATGTAGATGACCCACAAAGTCATCGAGTTGATCAAAATCTTGGTTTAATTACAGTCCTCCCCCCCAATCCCCCTTGAATGAATTGTGCTATAAATTAAATCAAAACTCAACATCAAGTGCCACATTTTGAAGTTCAGCAACAATTCCCAATTCACACAAAATATATATATGCATGTATAAACAAGTAAAAACTCATTTAACACGGTTTATTTTTAATTTATTTATGCATTAAGCGCCTGTCGCTCAACTGTGCGACTGACGCTCGGTGAATGCCAATTGACTGGCCACAGCAACAACAACCACAGCAACCGAATATTAACATTAACGAGATCTAAATGAATTGACATAAAATTGTTGACATCACGAGGAAGTAAAGCGCGAGGCAGTTTATGCTAATTACACTTTAAGGCAAGGCTGCCAAAAGTTACACTGCAATTGCAACGCGTTTTACAAAAGCAACCCAAAATTAAAAGCAGTAACAATAAAATTATGCAACTTATTGGCATTCGATTGCACTTAATTAGTTGCTGACTCTTTAACGGAATCTTTAGTTATATATCTGAGCAGATCTACCAAAGCCTGAAATAAGAATCAAGAAACTTGTTGTTCAGTTATTTAAATTGGGACGACAGAACTTTTAAAAACTGAATAAATAACTATAATAAAAATTTTAATTGGACAAAAACATTTTGGAACTTTTTATAAATATATTTTGAATGAATGTACATATTTGTGTATGTATATACAAGTTTATTATGTATGTATATACTATTGATCAACTGCTCGCTTTAACTAGTTGTCACTCTCGGAAGCTCATCATATTTTACAGTTTTGTTTAGCAAACATTTTGAGTTTGCCAATAAAAAATTAAGTTTAAATTAAAAACTACCGTTGTTCAGCGGCTCAACTTGAACTCATTTAAATATTTCGTTGTTGAAAGCGTGAGCTCATGAAAAAAATAGCTAAACTTTGAGAAAATCTTAAATATATATATGTATATACACACAGATGTATGTAAATGCGCACACATACATAAATAAATATATAATATTGGTTAATGGTGTGTCAAAAGTAGCGCAGCAGCAGTGCGAAGATCGATTGACTGAAGGCAGATCGCATAAACAAATTAATTAGCATCAATAAGGTCGAGACAACAAACTGAAAATTGCAACAGTGTACGAAAACAAACAGCACGCTTTGCCTTCTGCCGAATAAATTAGTTGAAATATAAAATATATAAACCGAGATCTAATAACAAGATAGCTTTGATGCTTGCTGCTGATCTCAGTGCAAGATCTTCAGCTCGGTGTCTTGTTACCAAGGCGGATTGTGATTGGTGTGGAAGCCAACCCACTTTATAAAGTGTGGCCACATGTCGAGCTGGGCAGTTCACAGTTGAGTGCGACTCATCGCTCATCCGTTGATATTATCGATATGATTATTTGTGAACGCTGTTCACACCCCGAAGTTATTTCGGCAAATAAAAAATAAATCAATTAGCGATTTGACCGACTGACTAATCCAATTTTGCAATGTCTCTTTTTCAACAACTTTTTTTTTAGATATATCACGCCAGCTGCAGCAGCCACAACAACAACAACAGCATCGAATGGCACCTCCACGGGCGGAACTAGTCTAGCGGTTTATCCCACGGCAACGGCGCAGGTCTATCGCTCCAACAATGGCATCGATGTGCTCGACTGTGCCGGCCTGGAGCATCACAATGCAGCAACAGCAACAACAGCAACGGGCAGCAACTCCAGCGGCAGTGGCTTCTCCCAGCGACTACGCGAACTGGCCGCCTCCGCCGGACTCCTGTCGCTCAAGCCACGCCAGCCACTCAAGCCCGTAATCAAGACACGTGGCTCACCGGGTCCAGAGTTTCCCAAGAAGGTCACATTCAGCGCCTTTGCCACGGTGCAGGTGGTGTGATCGTCCAAATGGGGGCGTCTCAGCTGTGTGTGGACGCAAGCACTACGACTAGGTAAAAATCGAATTATAAATATAATCAGATATTAAAATTATCGTTCAGATAGACTTCTTAAGTTTAGAGTATTTCAATTATACTTTAAATTTGTATGAAAATACACATTGCTTACTATTCACTTTTAAATAGCTTTTAAAATTGTTTAAATTAATAAAACTTCATTAGAATATGTGTGTTAAAATTTTTATTTTTGTTTACAAACACACGTTCAGCAATTAAGTTTAATAATTGCTTGCCAATTAGAATCGTGTCTGTAAGAAAGGTGTTCTAATTTTCGATTATATAATTTTACATTATATCAATAATTTATTTAAATTATATCATTTCAGAGTCCACGTGTCTTGCATTGTTAACCGTTATTGTTGTTTTGTTGCTGTTGTTAAATGTTTAGCATTACTATGGATCGGCATCTGGCAGACTTGGAAATATTTCCTTAAGTTACATTTAAATTTGTGCCATGTCTTTGGCTTGAATCTGTTATGAAATATGTACCAATATACATATGTATGCTCCATAGCTGAAATACCTCAAAGACCCTAAACACTACTAAAGCATAAATCTAAATTTTTCAGCGCTCTTCTACACTATCTGTTTTCATCAGCTACATCCTCTTCTAAGTATCGTAATACTTTCACTAATCATCTTAATGCTTTTCCTGGAAGACTGACATATTCAATTTACCAGTTCCTTTCCCCTCTGTATTCAGGCAAATCACATCTTCTGTTTTCCTAAGTCCCAATCAGTATTTTTCACAACTATATATTTCTGGTAATTCTTTCCTTTTAATTTCTATCAAAATTGACGACTACACACAAAAATTCTAATATTTTCTATTGAATTGTAAATATGTATGAATTTTTGCACAGTCATAAATATATATCTGGCGTATATATGCGTATTATGAAAGTCTGCATGTGTGTATGCGTATGTGACAGAACTTTGCTTATGTTTGTATTGTTTAAATACGATATATGTAAGAGTAAAATGAATGATAAATAAATATGTATATGTATATGTATGTAACTGCCTTCTATGTAAACACAATCGCTGTATATTGTATTTTATATATATTTTTAAAGATATTACTCTAAGCTTAATTTTATACATGATCAAATAAAATATAAATACGAGAAAACAACAAATTAAAGTGTTTGTCAAATGCGCTTAAGTGCGAGAGGAGTAATTGTGTTACTGTTGCATCAACTGCTAGGAGAGTAAATTTCGAATGGGAAGAGGAATGATAAGAGCAATTTTAAATGCTGTGGGTTTTGGAATTATCGTAGTAGCAGTAGTAGAAATTCCACTATTACGAGTGACCAATGAATGAGCATCGAACAGGTGCGCTAACAGACTTTTAGCAGTGAAATTTTACATAAGGAGTTAGCCTGTTAACCGGAGGAGTACTTCTGTTAAGCAAGCGGTGTACCGCCATCAGTTGATCAGTTTTACTCGGAGTTTCAACATTTTAAATTTTAACCTAGTGTTTTATTTTATTAATTTAAGGTGCTAGAGAGGCTAGTTTCACCAACCGTGGTATAACTATACATATAATATAATAACACCATTTCACTAACAGCATAGAAATGACAACAGAAATGATTTTAAATTATTGCCAATCGTTAACAGACTGCACAGTTAACAGGATACATTTATGTTATCTTTTTCGTTAGAGAATGAGAGTGAGAGAGAAAGAGAGTAATAGTTAACAGGAGGAGTGCTTCTGTTAATTTAACAGTGTGGCAACGCCATCGGCTGATTAGTTTTGCCATCAGCTTCGATGTGTATACACTGACAGTTTCCCGCCATTACTGAACGATCTTCGCTTTGCGAAATTTTATTAAATTGCATAAATTGGTGGCGTTTGAAATGGCCGATTCACCATGTAAGTATCTAAGATGCCGTGCCTAAATATGTTTAAAATAAAATCTCTCGTGCAGCTGGTCCGCGTGTGAAGCGACAGCGCATCGACAAATCGGGTCGATTTGCGGCGCTGGAACGCCTGAAAGGTCTCAAAGGAACCAAAAACAAATGTGAGGTGGAAGATAAAGTTGACGATGTTTACGAGGTGGTCGACGAGCGCGAATATGCGAAGCGCGCCAACGAGAAATATGGCGGCGATTGGATTGAAGAAGGTAAATTGAACTTATGTCTGTCAAAGGTAAAACAACTAAAAGATTAAACTACGTCAACAGATGGGACTGGCTATGCCGAAGATGGACGTGACTTTTTTGAGGATGAAGACGAGTACTCTGACGGCGGCAATGAGCAGACCAATGGCAAACAAAAGAAAGTGAACAACGCAAAAAAACGGCCACGCGACACCGAAAAACCTGCCAAGGGTAAAGCATCGATTCGCAATCTGTTCAGCAATGCAGTGCCCAGAAAGACGGACATCAAGAATAGCGTTAAGGATGACGACATTCTGGCCGATATACTGGGCGAAATTAAGCAGGAGCCAGCGGGCGAGTCATCTATGCTGCAGCAACAGAAGATTATAGCGCCAGCCAAAATTGTGGCTGCTACACGAAAATCCGAGGCAGTCGCTGCCAAAGAATACATGAACAGTTTTCTGACCAACATCAAAATGCAGGAACAGCAGCGCAAAAAGTCCGATGCAGCCAGCGACGATGAAATGCTGGATCGCATACTGCAACCAAAGGCGGCAATCCCCAACAAAAAGATCACGCCAATTGTGCCAACAGTTGCAGCGCAAATAAAACGGGAGCAGATCGCGCAATCTGTTGAAGAGCAGCCCAAACAGCAGACAGAAGCAGCTGCAGCTGATCATTGCGATAATGACTTGGATTTCAGTTGCCTGGAGGACGATGAAAATCAACTGGAGCCGACGGCCTCTATTGCCAAGCCAGAGCCCAAAGCATCGCCAGCAGTTGCAAAGCCCGAGGCAGACGATATGAGTAAGCTGCTAAGCAACTGGGAGTCCATATGCCAAATGGACGATGATTTTGAGAAATCAGTAATGGCCAGCGAAGCAGAGACCAGTGCTGGCAACGATCCGGTTGATGTGGAACAGCTGCGCTTCTGGTATTGGGAGGCCTGGGAGGATCCAATCAAGTTGCCAGGCGAAGTGTTTCTCTTTGGCCGCACACCCGATGGTAAATCCATCTGTGTGCGCGTGCAGAATATCAATCGTGTCTTGTATCTGCTGCCCAGACAATATGTAAGTATAAACGAAATATCAAGCTCAAGAGCAGAAATTGAATAAAAGTCATTGGCAGCTCCTCGATCCCATTACAAAGGAGCACACAAAGCAAAAGGTGACCGCTGCCGACATGTACAAGGAGTTTGATACGCACATCGCCACTGAATTGAAACTGGAAACGTTTCGATCGCGCAAGGTGAGCAAAAGCTTTGCCAATCATGCCATTGGCATCGATGTGCCGCAGACCTGCGACTACCTGGAGGTGCACTACGATGGCAAGAAGCCGGCACCGAATATGCTCAACAAGAAATATGATTCCATTGCGCACATCTTTGGAGCGAGTACCAATGCACTGGAGCGATTCTTGCTGGAGCGCAAGATCAAGGGTCCCTGTTGGCTGCAGATAAGCGGATTTAATGTGAATCCCGCGGCAATAAGCTGGTGCAAAACGGACGTCACAATTGCTGAGCCTAAGAACGTTGAGGTCTTGCAGGAGCAGGGCAAGCCAACGCCACCGCCGGCCATTACACTGTTGACCCTAAATGTGCGCACCTCGATGAACCCAAAGACGCTCCGCAATGAGATATGCATGATTTCGATGCTGACTCATAATCGCTTTCACATTGACAAGCCGGCGCCGCAGCCCGCCTTCAATCGTCACATGTGCGCCCTGACACGACCCGCTGTCTCCAGCTGGCCCTTTGACCTGAACCTGCAGCTGGCCAAGTACAAGTCGACGAAGATCTATAAGCATGACTCGGAGCGTGCGCTGCTCAGCTGGTTTCTGGCGCAGTACCAACAGATCGATGCCGATCTCATTGTCACCTTCGATGCAATGGATTGCCAGCTGAATGTGATCACCGATCAGATTGTCGCCCTCAAAATACCGCAATGGTCACGCATGGGTCGATTGCGTTTCACGCAAACATTTGGCAAACGGCTGCTGGATCACTTTGTCGGACGCATGGTCTGCGATGTGAAGCGTTCGGCGGAGGAGTGCATACGTGCTAGATCCTATGATCTGCAGTCGCTCTGTCAGCAGGTCTTAAAGCTGCAGGAATCGGAGCGCATGGATGTCAATGCCGACGATCTGCTTGAGATGTACGAGAAGGGTAAGTGAATTAAATCGATATTATATATTTTATATAGACGAGTAAATGAATCCATTGGCTTGCAGGCGACAATATTACGAAGCTCATCTCGTTGACCATGCAGGATGCCTCCTACATGCTGCGTCTCATGTGCGAGCTGAACATAATGCCGCTGGCCTTGCAGATAACCAACATTTGTGGAAACACAATGACGCGCACCTTGCAAGGCGGTCGCTCCGAGCGTAATGAGTTTCTCTTGCTGCACGCCTTTCACGAGAAGAACTACATTGCGCCCGACAAGCAGCCACAGCGACGTGGCGCTGCTGTCAAAGCTGAAGCTGATCCGAATGCCACCACTGGCAATGACACAACGGTGGCAACAACGGGTGCCGGAGCCGCACGTAAAAAGGCTGCCTATGCGGGTGGATTGGTGTTGGAACCGCTGCGCGGTCTGTACGAGAAATACGTGCTGCTAATGGACTTCAATTCACTGTATCCGAGCATCATCCAGGAGTACAATATATGCTTCACAACGGTGCAACAGCCACACGATGCCGATCAGCTGCCCGTGCTGCCCGATTCCAGTGCGGAGCCAGGAATTCTGCCGCAACAACTGCGCCGTCTGGTCGAGTCGCGTCGCGAGGTGAAGAAGCTAATGGCTGTGCCGGATTTATCGCCCGAGCTGCACATGCAATATCACATACGTCAGATGGCCCTCAAGCTGACTGCGAACTCGATGTACGGTTGTCTGGGATTTGCGCATTCGCGTTTCTTTGCCCAGCATTTGGCGGCGCTGGTGACGCACAAGGGTCGCGAGATTCTGGTCAATACACAGCAACTGGTGCAGAAGCTCAACTACGATGTGGTCTATGGTGACACAGATTCCCTGATGATCAACACGAATATAACGGACTACGATCAGGTCTATAGGATTGGGCACGCCATCAAGCAGAGCGTCAACAAGCTGTACAAGCAACTCGAGCTGGACATCGATGGCGTCTTTGCCTGTCTGCTGCTGCTTAAAAAGAAGAAATATGCCGCCGTCAAGCTGAGCAAGAATGCAAAGGGCGTACTGCGACGTGAGCACGAGTACAAGGGTCTGGACATTGTGCGTCGCGATTGGTCACAGGTGGCCATCATGGTGGGCAAAGCGGTGCTCGATGAAGTGCTCGCCGAGAAGCCACTCGAGGACAAACTGGACGCTGTGCACGCCCAGTTGGGACGCATCAAGGATCAAATTGAACAATCGGCTGTGCCGTTGCCGCTGTATGTGATCACCAAGCAACTGACACGTGCGCCACAGGAGTATGCGAACAGCGCCTCGCTGCCCCATGTCCAAGTGGCAATGCGCATGAATCGCGAACACAATCGGCGCTACAAAAAAGGCGACATGGTTGACTATGTGATCTGTCTGGATGGCACCACAAATGCGGCCATGCAGCGCGCCTATCATCTGGATGAGCTGAAGGGCAGCGAAACGCTCAAGCTGGACACCAACTACTATCTAAGCAATCAAATCCATCCAGTGGTCACGCGAATGGTCGAAGTGCTCGAGGGCACCGATGCCAGTCGCATTGCCGAGTGCCTTGGCATGGATGCCAGCAAATTCAGGCAGAATGCTCAACGGTGAGTGCAAAAGAAAGATGACATTTAATCGATGGCATCCCAGCAACAACTCCTATTTCTTCTTCAACAGCATACAACGTGAGCGCACTGAGGAGGCTGAGGGGGAATCGTTGCAGAAGACCACGCTGCAGCTGTATCGCCTTTGCGAACCATTCCGCTTCAATTGTGTGGCCTGCAAGACGGAGCAGCTGATGGCCAGCGCCTATCGACCAGGCCCAAATAGCAGCCATGTGCCCGTGCTGCAGCAGTGCGTCAATGCCGAGTGCCAGACATCGCCGCTGCAATATCTAGTTAGCATACGCAATCAGTTGCAGTTGCGCATACGCGGCTATGTGCAGCGCTTTTATCGCAACTGGCTGGTGTGCGATCATCCCGATTGCAACTACAATACGCGAAGCTATTCGATACGGCTTGAGTTGCGTCGACCGTTGTGCCTCAAGTGCAGCAGCGGCGCCATGCTGCGCCAGTACTCGGAACGTGATCTCTACAATCAGCTGTGCTACCTGCGCTTCATGTTTGACCTCAACAAGCAGCAGCTGACCCAGAAGCGTATGTGTGCCTTGACCCATTTGACATGATTGCCTAACATATATTAACTGTGCGCATTTTATTTTTATAGCTACGCTAACGCCCGAACTGGAGCAGGCTTATCAGCTGCTGTTGGACACTGTGGAACAGCAATTCCAAAGTTCTGGATATGTGGTCATATCGCTGGGCAACATATTTGCGCGCAGCCTGGCGCTGTCATCGCTGCAACCTCCGAAGAAGGCCCAGCGAGATGATGAGATTGCCAGTAGTTTGGCGGATGTTTAGATCTTTACACAACCTGCACTTTTATTATTACACACAACTAGAACACACGCACATCTGGTGACAAATATGTATAAACTCTTTGATAAACTAGCTGAGAAACTTCTCGAGCGGAAAGTGACGAAATGATTCGTTGAATATATCTGTGAACGCCGTGCTCACCAGCTCATTGATCATTGGCCGCACAAATGGCAGTCCCAGCTGCCACATGCTGTTTATGACTCCGTCAGCGACTTGATTCAATGACTGACCCTGCAACAGATTGCCAATGTGCATCTCCATGCCACCAATGCGATCAACCTCGACATGTACTTTCAGCAATGACCCCGGATCGCCCACTCGCCGCACGCTCGTCGTTTGACTACAGTGAGAAAAAAAGGGATCAATATATGGGCAGCACTCAGTATAAAACATATTTACCTGTAGTCGTAGAGGGTCATATTCCAGTGGCCCTGACGTCGCAGCTCTGTGCCCAGCAGCTTGGCCACAAATTCGTACTCGCCCTCTAAACTTTTCTCGGGAAAGTATTGCGCATAGACAATGCGGTGATCTTCGGCATCGCTGTGAAATTTGGTCACCTCGGAGCGCGACCAGCCGTATTCGGAGACGTTGCGCAAAACCAACTTAAAGCTGCCCGGTCCATGTGGATCACCGCGACGCAGTTCGACGTAGGGCGACTGATGGGGGTCAAAGGGCTGGATGTTGTAACTGGGCACACCTGCATAGCTAACTGTTTTGGTGACCGATCTTAAAACTTGACTTGACCCGAGACATACCTGTTGTGAAATAAGCTCGCAAATCGTTAAACACCTGTTTCATGCAATCATTGTATTCATCCGGATTCCCTGGATCTCTGTGACAGCGACCGATTAAGTGTTTCAAGTCCTGATCAACATCTATTTGGCTAGAGGCTTCCGTCACTCCAAATATGCCCGCAGCAATCACAAATGCTGCCATCAAAAACAGGCTGTTACAGTTTGCGAGCGATTGTTGCGACATTTTACAGTTTCAAACGAGTGTCACGAGCAACTGTTAAAATCAAAAGCGAATTTGTTTTGGTAAGTAAATATGTGTTTTGTTTGTGTCTTAAGCAGGCGCGAACAGCAAAGATAATTTACATATAAAATATCAGGTCTTGAAGTATTCGAATATTTATTTACAGTTTGAGTCGCACTAGGTAGTTGTTCTCGATTGTGAAGCACAATTTGAACTGCTTGTCATTCTGTGCTCATCTGCTAGTTAAAGTGGCACTCAAACTGCGTGTCAGTTTTCATTTTCGAATCTTTTTTTATGGGCAACAATTGACACCATTCTTCGGCTACTTTTTTGTTTTAATGTGTTTTCCCATAATTTTAAGCTGTATGCAGAACTTGTATCATAATTTTGGTGCCACAGCTGACAATGCTTGGCGAGTTTATGACGCATTTCAGGGACACGGCCAAGTAAACAAACTCTTTGTCAAAGCAATTTGCCGAGCACTTTTCGGCAGCTCATCAATTGGCTATAATCTCTGTTGCACTTGACCTCTTTATATGTACTTATGCAGTGGTTAAATGCTGTTTTTATTGTTGCTTTTACTTTGCTTCAATTTGCGTTGTCATTACCGAAAAACGCCATTAACGAGCGCTCGAGCGGACCGAAATATGCAATGTAAACAAAAGACTTGGACAAGCAACAAACTTGCGGGTGCTTAACAATTTCTTGTTATTATTTTTTTTTTCATTTTATTTATGTCAATATGCAACTATAGTTATAGCTTTTTATGCTTGGCGTGCACAGCAACAATAACAACAATAACATCTGTGAATTGTGCAGTTTAACGTTAACGGCGCTGACCAAACACAGATTGACCAAACCAACTACTTAGAGTTAGTCAGTTGTTGTTGTTGCTTTTGCTTTAGCTATCGCTACTGGCAAATTGTGTAATTTCTTTTTTGTTTTGAAAAAGTTTGAAAAAGCGCAATGGATGCTTTAAGACTGTGTTTGTGTGTTTGTTTTTGTGTGGGTAAGTGTGGCAAGCAACAGTTTGGCAGCCACTCCACCCGCTTAGCACAAATATTTACTTGCAATAGTTTGTTTTAATTTGTCTTCTTTTCTTTGGTTTTATTTTTGTTTGGTACACAACTAGTTGACCAAATATTGCTTCCTGATATTTGGGTTGTTCCGAAAATAAAAAAAAACTCCTGCGCTTCGTATGCAGCACGAACACACAGTTTTACAGTTAACTGTGCCGAATACGCGACGCGATTTATATTTTTTGCGTGTGAATCATGCGAGCGGCAACTGGCAACTGGCAACTGGCATCAAATTTCAGACGGGCCAAATAAGTGAGTGGAAGTGCCGCAGACCGGCCGACAGTTGCCACGACTGGGAGAGGCCCGCTCGAAGACGGCATATCTCATTCTCTTTTGTAATTGTCAAATAATTTCCTTATTATCTTTGGCGACAAACCCAAATGTATATGCATAAATCACAATGGATCACATTCGACGCGCAAGAGGCCATTTTGTCAAATGAGCTGAATTTAATAAGGCAAAAATCGTGCATTTTTTACATTTATTTTTGCGTGTACACAGTCAAGTTCATGGTATTGAATATATTAACTTTTTGTACGTGCCTCGCATCCCAAACTGTGGCAATCGTACAACTATTGGTATCAAGTTTAATGTGTTGCTCATCTCAGCCAGTTGATCAGGTTAAAAGTGAAGGTTTTTCGCAGCTTCAATAACATAAATTGTAGCAAGGTCAATTTCAGTTCAGATTCAAATTCGACAAATGCAGAGCTAAATTGCGCGCTCACCACACTAGCGCCATCTGTCGTATGGTAGTAGTGGCATCGAATACAGGAACCATTCGTTGAGTCGACATTTGTTGGGTTTGAAAATTGGCTGAAATAATATGTATGAAATATTTTTGGGCTGAATTCAAAATATGTTTTCTTTGTATTCTGTATCTTTGCAACAAAAGTGTAAAATTAATGGTGCGCAATATTCGCAAAACAACCTAAGAAATATTTTTTTTGTGTGATTATTGTATTTATACAACAAATATTGTAGGAAAAAAGCAAATTTTTAATGAAAGTGTAATCGCTTACAACCATTTTGGGTGTTTCTATTAAAATGTAACATTTATATTTGTCAGCGAATCGGCAAAAAAATGTGGAACGCTTCACGATTTTGCGTGTCATCCTTGCGCAGGGGCCATGCTAATCTTCTCTGTATCGTTCCAATTTTAGTATATGTTCTGCCGAAGCAAGAACGAAGACTGTGACAGCAAATTAGCTATTTATATTGACACATTGGCGAATAACAACTTGGGAATTATAATATGTGATGTGTCACAGGTCACAGGTCAGATCTGACGCAGATGTGAGGGTTGGTTTTTTCCCGACTTTATCATTTTACTTCCATTATGCATTTTACCTGAAATGTCAGAAGCATTAAATTAAATTTCAAGTATTTCAGATTAAATAAATGCATGCTATAAATATTTATATACATAAATATATATATATATAAAATCGAGTTTGGAAAATATATCGAAAAACAGCATTTGCATTTGATGCGTTTGTTTTACATCAATAATGATTTTGTATATGTCATTTTATTTTTAAAAGGAGTAACTCAATCTCCAAGAAAGGTAATTCTACTAATTTACAACTTCTTTGTATAACTGGCATATATGTATATGTCTAGCAAAGAGTTGGCTTTTCTTAAGCCTGTCGAAAATAGGTAGACAATTTTGAAGTTGACTATGTGCTTACAAAATGTTTCTTACGACAATTACTTTTTATCCAGGCTCTTTTAAAGCTCAAACAAGTACTTGACCAACTGATTCTGAATGTAGGCCTGTGAGAAAAACTTGAATCGCTATGAAAATTAGAATTCTGAAAATTACTGACTGAAGTTACTCACTGTTATCTGTGCCAATACATACAGTTTGTGTATAACTTGTACAGTAAGTGGAGCTAATCAATTTTAAAGTATATGTCCAAATCTTAGGCTTGTAAGAATAAGTTGATTTTCGATAATTAATTCAACTCAAGTTCAACATAGTAAACTATCCTCATATTTAGTTAGCATTAAAATAAATTGTAAGGAGTTGGCTTTATATATACACAGATACATTTTTCTAACTCTCTTTCGTAACGTGGAACAACTAATTATAATTCTTTTTGGTAATTTGCCAAAGACTTGACGGTCTTTTTTCCGACATGATTAACAACGGACTAATAAATATATTATAATATCTTCCACTCAGTTTATGGCGTCGGATATGTCAACTCTAATGCGTTACATATTCTGTGATAAAATTATTATACTCCCACCAAGGGAATTCAAATAGAAGGAAAACCATAAATGGCAGCACAATCATTTCATGGTGTGTGTTTTTGTGAGTGCTACGTGCTGGCAGCGCCAAGTGCGTGTATTTTCAATGTTCACACTTCTATAATGCTTAAAAGTAGGCGTCCAACCCCAAAACCCAATTCTCATTCCAGTTGCCTTCGTTGTGGTTCCGAGCAACAAGTGTCCCGAACTGCGGTCTCAGCATCCTGCCATTTCGGCAGCTCATATCTGACTGGTGGATATGAATGCTGCGTATTATCCGGCTGTTGTGATTGGTCGAACATGGTCAAGTGCCACGCCCACCCACACTCATTGCGCAGGCTTCGTATTCAATGTGCGTCATGGGCTCCTCAAAAATTCTATTACATTAAAATTGTTTGTGCAATACGTAAGTAATTCTTATTTCTTATATCTTTTTACGTATATAGAACTGTTGGTGTTAACTGTCTGACTGACTGACTGACAAACTGACTAACTGATTGGTAATCAACGCACAGCCCGAATAAGGAGAGCTATGAAACTCAGAATCCACACACTTAACTCAACTTTATCTGTTGATCGAATTTTTAGAACAATTCCATTCCTTTCAATTTTATTTATATACTATAAAAGCCCAAATCAATTTATTTTTATAATCTAATAACGAATAAAATGTGTATTTTATTTGTGGATTTGCAAATAATGGGTCTGTTCGCACAAACCAATTTTGTCACCCACTATTGAACACTATTTCTCAAATATAATCGCAAAGTTTTACGGCTTAAGCCATACAAATTAATAAGTTAGTTCACTAATTACCTTCTTGAAAATTCGTTTAAGAATTATTGTCAAACCAGTCTGATCATATCAAAACTATATTGCATTCAGCTCGGTCGAAAATTTAGTTTATGCAAGTTGTTTTCCAAATGAACTTAACACAATACTAATTACAAGATTCATAATGCTCAAAAAGTGATGAAAATAATATTTACACCAGATTCACCATTAAAAATGTGTAAAAAGGATGTTATGGTTTTGTCCAGAGGTATATAACAGACAGAAGGAAGCATCTAAAATCCCATAAAGCATATACACATGCATATTCTTGACAAGGATCAACAGCAGACTCGATATAGCCACGTCCGTCTGTCTGTCCTTCCGGCTTTATGAACCAACGGACTACAAGAGTTAGGAACTTTAAATATAATATAATCAAGTTTACTTTAAAAACACGAATTTAAAAGGTAAAGCTTCAATTTTTAATATATAGTGATGTATTATTGATCAACTGTACAAATTTCAGAAGGATGAGCTCTGAAACCCAAAGCTAAAGCCCAAATTCGCATTCTCATATTGATTCGCATACTATGAGATGATTCTTACTTGTTATAACATATATAATATGCTATCTTTGCTAAGTCGAAGATGGTCAGTCATTCCTTGTACTTTTTAACGATTTTGAATGTATGACACATTTCCCCTGTTCAATTCCGCAGCTCAAAACTTTTATTATGAAGCAAAACACAACCAATATGCCTTAATAGAACATGAGAAATATTGACAATCTGCCAACACACACCACAAAGCATTTTCATTTTGCGGGGAGAAGAAAAAATGATGACAAAAATGCGAAATATGCTCGGAATTTCTTAATGAAATCGGTCGCCCCGTTCGGAATTTTTAACGCTTCTCAGCTTAAGACAA